ACTTCGGGAATCCACCAAATCTGATACAGTAAGCTGACTGCTCAGGCAGAATTTACTATGTAAATAAACTGGAATCTACTAGATAATCACCAGGCTGATTATTATTCATTGATATTTTGGCAGACTTTGAATAACTCATATTGACCCAACAGTGACCAACTCGGCGCCCCAGTTGGATTTGAACCCACGCATTACAGCGTGCCCATATAGTTAACGTCGAATCCACCAGATGTCTCTAGGGCTCATTTGGTCGGCTAACGCACCCTTGTATCTACTAATATATGTCATGGTTGTTCGCCATAAAACAGTATTTTTTTGGTCATTTCTTAAGACATCATGTTCTCTTCCAATAGCGTGCGTTAAATTATCGTCTTTTTTCATCGGTGTTTATTAGCATAATATTCAACACGATCTATGCTTTCCATATAGGAAATGCGAGAAAAATATTCTATGGGTCTCATAAACTTTATAACGGGTTTGACATATGCTGCCTGCATAATTAGTATGCAATGTTCTGGCTTTAAAAATTCCTTATATGATAATTTCTAAAATTTGTGATGTGTTCTTTTAGGCATAACATTTTGATGACGACATAAATTAATACCGAATACATAAAAATGAAATCCGTTGGAAGTTGTTTCTGGAATGCTATTCAAAATTTGCCATCACATCAAAAAACGCTATGTAAATTGCATGTAATAAAGCGATACTCTTTATCAAGTGCAATATTGTAGACGGCCGGAAAGGAAGCCATTCAAAGCTAATAAATTACTCTTTCCTTCGGAAAGCACAGCAAAAAATTTTGGCTTACATTTAATGATCTCTATCATTAATGCAAATACTCCAGTTGTTTAAGGTTTTATTTGACCGCAGGCTTTTTGGTTATACAGCGTTTAAGCAGAATGCACTTCTAACTTTCACGATCAGTTGGCAGAGAGCATCGAGTGTGAGAACGGTGGAGACTAAAAGAACGATGTTTTGGATCGACATGCGTAGGTGGACATCAGTGATGCGTCAAGATGAAGATCAAACACTTTCGTCAGGAACATCATGAAAGACACCGCGACACGCCTGGTCGGGTGGAGTATTATCGTGATGCAGTTTTTAGCAGCAGATCCGATTTTAGATCTCCTGTGAACTTCAATGAGACGGTATAGAACGACTGTAAAAAATGCCGAATGTGTTATTCTAACCCACGTAGACAATTATATGCAAATCTCTTGTCCATGTGCCAAACGCCGGGCATTTCATTCAGTCTCCCTAGACACTTTACCTTTACGGTTGGACTAGTATGTCTATTTAACCGTCGCTCTTATCACCCTTGTTGCTAGTTTACTTTTGGTGTAAATCGGTTAATATCGTCTCGGGACTAGGACATCCAAAACGACTTCGGAGTGAATGCTCCACAAAGAAAGCAGATTTGTCTACATTATCGCCAAGCACATTTCAAGCAGAAAAGATTTGGGACGTCGAATATCAAGGAATGCGGACTTTTTGAATCAGATGCGCTCATTTTTGATGAAGGCTGCCAACCGATTCTGGAAAACTTCTGAAAGATTACTAGCATTTGACAGTTTATTGACAGAGCATGCCGAGTACCTTAGTGTCCGCAAAGTACACGTCGATTTGACTCCGGTTATCACAGCGCAGACCAACCACTCTCCATTCTCGAGCGTTTGTAAAAACTCTTGTGTCTCTTTCGCATGCCTCGATGATCCTGCATCCGGAAATGCTCCCGGGTCTAATCACTAAGTCAGTACTTAGGACTGAAGACCTAACAAGTGATGTATGAGGCGACGAAAAGTAAAGATGAGAATGCCCAATGTCGGGCAGATTTCTAACAATCGCCTGAACACCTGACTCATTGTACCATTTCTATAAACCAGCAGTTACCACTTCTGCATACATACACACACACACCCACACCCGCACCTAGGCGAGCCGCCAACGCCTGGCTCCGATCCCACACTGTTGAACGAGTGCCATAAAGGCCACATTAAAAGGGAGCCATTGCAGCCTCGCTCTCAGACCGCCTCCCGTCTAGGAGGAGGTCCAAGTTACCCCGTCAGTTGGCAACCTACCAAGCCACGGCTTTTAGCGCACCGTGATAGCTTCAAGCGCGTCAGATTGTTTATAGTGAGGAGAAAGTGCGCTGGGTCGTCGTCCTCACCCTCCCTTCCCATCGCCACACCCCAGCTACTGTCCGTGCCGTTCGGCAGACTGGAGTGGGGAATGGGCGCGGTGGCTGACATGGTCGACTGACCATGACTGCGCGCGCCACACCACGACCTGGTCCCCCATACAGACCAACACCAGGATTTCACACAACGGGGGTTGAACGGCTTGTCTCTCACTTGCGTGAGAGGGCCGTGGAAGGTGCTGCTTCAGCCCGTCCCCAGCCCAACAGTCCGCCACTCCGCACAACACACACACACAACGCGACGAACTGCGTGGACCGATTGTGGGCGTCAGTCAACAGCCTTCCTATCCACGACGCTTGACGTGTCAGGATAGTCTCGGACTCAATTCACCCGTGCTGCCAAAGCCGCATGGGGACAGAGTCGAGATGCACACTTCCCACTTGCGTGGTAGGTGGCAGTTGGGTTGTTGCGCTGTGTGCGTGTTGATGTGTGGTGGTGTTGGTGGGGGAAGGTAGGGAGTGTGTGGATGTGTGGTGTAACCGGCGGTTGTCTACCGCAGGGCGTCGTGCATGCGTATGTGGCCGAATAAGCCCATGCGGTGCCTGAAAGTACGAGGGCAGCGTGGGCAGTTGAGACGAACTTGGTAGGTATAGGCTGGTGCTCCAGGCACTGGTTCTTCAGTCTCTGTGCGATGGATTCGCAAGTGACCAACCAGACCAATGCAAGAGGTGAATGGGCGTGGACAGTGTGAGCATAAGAAGTCGGCGGTGTCAGTGTCAGCTACAGAGGAGGCGGTGGTGGTGATGGTGGGGCGGACGGATGGAGCGGGTGTGGGGTTTTGCACGGTGGATGTGGTGGGTGTGTCGGGAGTGCGGTCAGTGCCGCTCTCGTGGATGCGTATGTGGCCGAATAGGTCCATGCGATGCCTGAAGGTGCGAGGGTAGTGTGAGCAGTTGAGTCGAGCGTTGTGGGTATAGGTCGGTGCTCCAGGCACTGGTTCGCCGGTCTC